CCCTGCTCCCGGGGCTGCAGTTGATCACCCCTGAATTAGGAGACAGGTTAGGTTAAGCAAGAGCTCCCATAACTATGACTGAGGTAACATTAATACAACCCATCAGAAGGAAACTGCAGAGGGCAATGCTATGTTTTACTACTTTTCCCCTTGCGTCACGAGGAGAAGTTTCATGCCAGTACAACAGAGTTCCAACAAATTTACAATACTTTTTTGATTGATTTGATTTATATCTTGCCTTTCGCCCACAGTTTACCCCCAAAATGCATACACACTAGAGTTAATAAACTAATCTAAACTACAAAAGATAAACTCAGTTTAACTTAAATATTTTTGTTGTATTGTATGTATCGATTTCCCCTTTGGTCTTCTGGAGAGGTTTATAACAAATTTATTGCTAGAATTGTCTCTGGTTATTTTGGATGTTCCTACAATCCAATAGTCAGAATGTTGCAGTGGACCCAATTCAAACAATATAATAGGAAAGATGCAGGTAAGGGGAGGGCTGAGCAAACAAGATTTGTGGAAGCGTCTAGATTTCTGTTCTGGTTCGTTGTACTCTTGGTTTGTGCTGATACAAAGCACTAGAGGTCTCTAGACAGGTTTGTTGTCAACTGCCTTCGCATCAATCTCAACCCATGGTGACCCTATGGATGAGACATCTCCAGGCCCCCCGTCCTCTACTGCTCTGCCCAGCTCCTGTAAACTCTCCTTGGCGGTCTCTTTAATAAAGTCCATCCATCTAGCATGTGGCCTTTCTCTCTTTCTACTTCCCTCCACCTTTCCTAATATTATTGTCTTTCCCAGTGATTCATGCCTTCTCATGATGTGTCTAAAGTACAACAGTCTCAGTCTTGTCATCTTGGCTTCTAGGGACATCTCTGGCGTGATCTGTTCTAGGGCCCATTTGTTTGTCCTTTTGGCTGTCCATGGGATCCTCAGCACTCTTCTCCAGCACCACATTATCTCAAATGCATTGATTTCCCCCCTATCTTCTTTTTTGGCTGTCCAGCTTTCACATCCATACATGGTAATAGGGAATATGATGGCTTGTATGATTCTGACTTTTGTGCTGAGTTGTATATCTTTGCATTTTAGGATCTTTTCTGGTTCTTTCATAGCCGCCCTCCCCATTCTTAATCTTCTCCTGATTTCCTATGGAACGCCCTTAAAGACATGGGAGTGCCAACACATCTGATTATTATTATTATTATTATTATTATTATTATTATTATTATTATTATTATTAATTTCTATCCCACCCTTCTACCAAAGCAATCGGGGCAGCTTACATCAATAAAATAGTAGTCCTAATGAGGAATCTGTACTCAGCAGAAGAGGCTACTGTCAAAACAGAACACAGAAAAACAGAATGGTTCCCAATTGGCAAAGGGGTCAGACAAGGCTGCATCCTATCACCCTACCTATTCAATTTATATGCAGAACATATTGTAAGGAAAGCAGGCTTGGACATGGAAGAGGGAGGAGTGAAAATAGGAGGAAGAAATGTCAACAATCTGAGATATGCTGATGACACCATGATACTAGCAGAAAACCTCTATAGACAGGTACCTTCTGCCAAAATAAAAAGTAAAAAATTAAAATTAACAGAATAGGAGAGGTTGATAGGATTTACTATATGAAACAGCAGAACTGAGAAAAGTATAATAACATCCAAAATCCACAAAACAGTGATATCTTTATTGGGCCAACCAAAATGCACAAAACACATTACAAGCTTTCAAAGCTCCATTGGCTGCTTCATCAGACAAAGGTGTTAAAAATCATATGGGGGGGGGGGATGACAATGTTAGTTAGCTCCATGGGCTTCTTCATCAGGCAAGATGTTACAAACCAAACAGGAGAAAAACAATTGGAGATGTTAGTCAGATGCCTACATGTTTCAGTCTTTAGTTAAGATGGTTACTCCCGACCATATACCATCTTAACTACAGACTGAAACAACATGTAGGCATCTGACTAACATCTCCAGTTGTTTTTCTCCTGTTTGGTTTGTAACATCTTGCCTGATGAAGAAGCCCATGGAGCTTCGAAAGCTTGCAACAAGTATTTTGTGCATTTTGGTTGGCCAATAAAGGTATCACTGATGGATATTAGTTTGAATTTGCTAAATGGTCAACACAGCTACCCCTGAATGTTTTCTGGATTAAAATATGAGTTATCTGTTTTAATCTGTAGAATTAATTTTTTAAAATTAATTAAACCCTCCTCAATTTTCAAGTGGTTCATAGCAAAAAACAAGAAGTTTGGGAACCAATAAAGTTTTCCAGACAATATGCTTTACTGTCCTGAAAGCATACTGGCTTTATTTCTAGCCGAATTTTCTTTAAAATAGAAAAAGAAGGCATTTCTAAGACAACCCACCCAATTTACCCCAGTGTTGAACTGCTTGTTAACTGGATCAACTTCATCCCCCTGACCATCATTTCCTAGAAGCAGAGGCCAACAATAGGGTGGGTGAGAGCAAAATGGAGGTACTGCCTCCCAGATATGAATTCCACCCCAAGGATTTTTGCATCCAAAGAAAAGGGCTGGCAAAGGAACTAAGGGAATGCCAATTCACCAAATAAAAGAGTTCCAGGTGCAAAGAATTTTAAGTGTCTCATTCTCTGTAGTGGTAGAAATTAGAGCAATGAAAGACATTTTCACTGGAAAACAATTATTATTTATGGGACAATGCCTTTATCCACCCACCGGTAGCTACAACCAGACTGATTCTCATTCAACTGAGACTTAAGTGAGGTTGGCTGCAAGAACACTGCTCACTGCCACATCATCTACTGCTCCGGATCAGCTGTAGGAACACTTTGGCTTTGGGATAAATTGGCTAGGAGCCATATATACCAATGAGAGCCAGTGTGGCGTAGTGGTTTGAGAGTTGGGACTATGACTCTGGAGACCTGGGTTTGATTCCCAGCTCTTAGCCATGAAACCCACAGGGCAAGTCACACTCTCAGCCTCAGGGAAGACAATGGTCAACCTCCTGTGAACAAATCTTGCTAAGAAAATCCCATTATAGGATCGACTAAGGCAGGGGTAGGCAACCTTTTTGAGCCAGGGGCCGGGTTGCTGTCCCTCAGACAATTAGAGGGGCGAAGCACCATAAATAAATAAATAAATAAATAAAATAATAAAATAAAAAAATGCATGCACACTCTCTCAGCCCCAGAAAAGCCATGGCAAAACCCCTGTGGAGATTTTGCCAAGAAAACACCAAGAACAAATAATAACAACAATAATCAATATCATCATGGCAGGGGGCGGCGGCAGGTGGCAGGACTGGCCTGGGGCCGGTCCAAAGGCCTCGGGGGGCCGCATCTGGCCCCCAGGCCTTAGGTTGCCCACCCCTGGCCTAAGGGTTGCCATATGTCAGAAACAACTTGAAGGCATACAACAAGAACACATACCATTCTCTCCAGAACGTGAGTGGTGGGTGGGGTGGGGGTTACCTTTTGAACTACAAATCCCAGAATTGCCAATGTGTCCGGTGCTGGTTGGGAGGGTTTCTAATAGTTGTAGTCCAAAATGTAATTCCTCCATGTTCTGCTGTCCTACTCCTTTCTCTTTCTCTTCTCCCCCCTCACTGCAAATTGTAAAGAACACAAGGAAGACAACATAGTACATGGCATATTTTAACACAATTACTTGCTTGCCTAATTTTTCCCCCAATTAAAAAACAAATCCTAGCATGAATACCCATAAATACCTACTCCTCCTTGCTGGGAAGCAAATATTTGCGATGCTTTTGCACCAGCAGCATCTGAACGCATGAGTGGAACTTCAAGGCTTTAATCTTACCTACTATTCACTGGGAATAAGAGATGTTCAGCTTTGCAGGGCTAACTTCTGATTAATTTAGGTGAAATGAGACTGGACTGCATTTTTTTTTTAAATGTGAGAGTTGGAAGAAGAAAAAAATAGGCCGGGGTTGTGTGATAGAGTTGCAGAAAAACACATCTATGGGCCTTTGCAGACTGCCAGAAATAGTGTACATTAAATTGAGGCACTGCCCTGGCTCAGTGCTAGGGAGTCATGGGAACTGTAATTTATTGTGGCACCAGAGCTCTCTGACAGAGAAGGCTCAATGTCCCAGAAAAAAATACAATTCCCATGACTCCCTAGCACTGAGCCAGGGCAGTGCCTCAATTTAATGTGCACTATATCTGGCAGTCTGCAAAGACCCTATATTTTGCTTTAAAATGCTTTATGCCAGGCCCCACAAGCCTTAGTGGAATTAGGGTGCTTGAGTCCTAAAATTGGTTGGCCTTGGCAAGATCCAAAATACCAGATGTGGGCTCCAGTTCCTCATGCCCTGAGCTGCCCTCTCATTTCCTTTCATTTCCTCTCATTTTGCAGCAGGAGATAGGCCTAGCTTTGAGGGAAGGAGGGTTTGGCTGAGTGCAAGGCCAAAACTGGCCAGGCCTGGCAGTGTCAAGAGATGCTGCTGGATTTGGTGGCGGCTTCCATTTTGTTTCCGCTGCCCCTTTTCCTCTGGTGCCAAAGGCTCTGGGATCATGTCACTGAATTTGTTTTCCTATTGCAGAGGAGAGAGAGAGAGA